TCTACAGTGAGTCACGTTGTCAGACCAAACACACGTAGCTGTTAGGTTTCCTGTCCGTCTGCGGCAGAACATGACAATCTTTTTGGTTCCTTTATGGTCACTGACGTGCTTTTCTTAGCGCCCCCTACTCTAACGTTCTGGTTCGTGGTTTTTTTTTTTTGTTCAAGGTTAGATTCTCCGAGAGAGTTAGCATGCGGGCTAGGAGAAGCACCTCAGGCTACTGTAAATGCCTTGCTCGTATGATCAGCCCTTTTGGTCACATGACTTTTGCACCCTACGTCTGTAGGTCCGCACCTGTAAATACGCCATGTTTGTATCGGTCGCCGATCCCGGGTCGTTCCTTTAGCCTTATTTACCTTTGGAGGAGGAAATGAAGTGGAAGAGAGAAAACAGGAAGTGGCACGGCGGTCGGACAGAGCAGACTACTTTTTGGTAAATAGCTTATGTAAATACTGACCACACCCCAGTGAGAAGTTTTTTATGGAAACCTAAAAATAAGATGTTTTGTATAAAAAAAAATTTTTGCTTTGTATTTTAGCTAGTGTGCATCTAAAGCCCACACTCCCCCCTCCCCCCACCCTCCCTCTGCACTGTTTCATGGTGATGAAATGATGGTTCTAAAGAGAGAGACAGAAGAGTTGCCAAAGCGACTGCTGCGTTTTTGTGCCAACGTGTGTGAAACATTAATATTTATTGAATTATTTCCTTTTTTTTTCCTTTCTCTTTTCTTTCTTCATGATTTAATTCTAGTCCAGTTTGTACGTAACACAGTATTATACCTTCATTTCTTCAGTCATGTGGAGCTGACTGGGTGGCTGCCCCCCCCCGTCCCCCCTCCCCCAACATCCGCCTCCCCAATGTGACATTGCCACTTCATTAAAAAAAGAACAAAGGTCTAAAGTTAAGATGAGTGACACACACATTCCACCAGTCTGTTACAAACTGAAATCTTTTCAATAAAATGTTTTTCCTATGGAGGTGCTGTCTGTCTGTGCTTTCTGTTCCTCGGTGCTCAACCCCCGGCTCCTGGGCTGTGATACGGCACCAGACAAATCATTAAAAAAAAAAAAAAAATCTTCAAAACGCTGAGAGACGATCTCCGCCGCACCTGGTACTGATCCTGGTACTGATCCTGGTACTGATCCTGGTCCGTCAGCTGACGCCAAGGTTCAAAGTTGATCTAAAAATCTACTGTAAATATGTAAAGTATTCAGCAAGTATCATAAATACTACAACTGTGAGCTAGTTCTGTGGTACTACTCCATGTTCTTGAATGTTCTTTGTTCTCCTGCAGCTGTGTGTGTGTGTGTGTGTGTGTGTGTGGGCGGAGACTCCAAACCTGTTGCTGATCAACAATCAGTGGCCTATAAAAACCAGGCTGCGCCCCGGCTCTGGTGTCACATGGTTCTGTGGAGGTTTTATGTGTGTGTGTGAATGAGTACTGTGTACGAGTACTGTGTACTGGTTCAGTTTCAGTCCCAGTCGCTGCAGGTGAAGGGGTCGTGAACAAACGTCTCCCTGTCTCAGCATTGTTTCCACAGTGAAGAACGGCTGCTGCCCCGGCCCTACGGCCACAAGGTCAGCGGTTCAATCCCCGGCTCGAGGTACTGGTCTTTCAGTACCTCATCTTTACCCACGGTTAGCTAATAGTACTTTGACTTTATGCCAGAGTAACAATAACCCTGATGGAAAAAAAAAAAAATCGGTACCAGGAAGGACAGAAGTGAAAAGAACCGATTGGTCACAGTATTTAAGTCCTGACTCTGGAGGTTCTAAATCCTGTGTTAGAACTGAAGAGTTTTTCGTTGTCACTGATCAGTAACACAGTGAACAAACGTATTTAAAAACATGTAGAAATAAACACAGAACGAACCTTTAATCAGTTCTGAACTGAAGTTGAAGTTGTTGAGTGTCACAGTGACAAATAATTCACTTCTGTGGTCGAAAAACTGAGACGTTTGACTCTGACGGGGCCGATTCTTCACTGAGGGGGAGAAAAAAAAAAAAGAAAAAAAAAAGAGCGCTTTAATTATAATTCATTTCAGACCTGGGCCTCCGGGGGCAGCGCTCAGTGTGTATGATCTGCACAGGTTAACGAACGTTGGAGAGCGGGAGTGGGGGAGTGGGAGGGGGAGGGGGCGCGGGGGGGGGGGGGGCAGGCAGGAACCTGAACATGATGAGATTCTTGACTCTGTGTTTGTGACCGCACTCCCACTCATGGACTCAGACGACTCTGTCTGACGTCTCATTGTTGATCTGTCTCGCTCTCTCTCTCTCTCTCTCTCTCTCTCTCCCCCCTCCCCCATCTCCTCTTCTCGGGGTGATTTCCCAACACTCTATCCCCCGCCTGCTGCCCTCCTGAGGGCTGAAAGTGATCGGCAGCTCTGCCAGGTTCGTCTGCTGCAGACACGCCCTGGACATGTATGTGTGTGACGCAGCGCTGAAGACACACAGCAGCATCTCCACCCAGGCTGCGTGGAGTGTCGTGTTGCACACACACACACACACACACACACACACACACACTTGAGTCGTCCTGTTTTCAGTCGACTGTTACTCTGCTGAAAAGAATCCCAGCTGACAATGGGAGTCCGGTTTCTCTGTGGTTTTAGGTGAGAACGGCAGAACAACAGATCACTTGTGCAAAGTGTGTGTGTGTGTCTCCGGGTGTGTGTGTGTGTGTGTGTGTAGGAAGACAAAGTGAAACACTCCTAACCTGGAAATGCAACGTTCTCAGGGCACGGTCACGAACTTGGAGCA